CCTTTCCTTCATATGGACGGTCACATAAACTGAATCCCTGTCTACTGAGTGCTGCAGGGCTTTGAAACTTCCCATCATCCTGGGCTACCTTTCTGACCATTCTTTTTTCACCACCTTCAGTGTTCCTGCAGTGAAACAAATCTTCTCTTTGACAAGATGCTGTCTGTTGGTTTGACTCTTGCTCTCATGAGCAGCTCTGGTATTGTGTCAGCTCACAACTTGGATAGAGGATTTTGGCTGTCAGCTGGGCTGTCAGCCCAGCAGGGCACAACTTGGATAGAGGATTTTGGCTGTCAGCCCAGCAGGATTTTGGAGAAACATTTTCTTCACACATCAACCTTCACACTTTGTCTGCAGTGCTGGATTGGAGGAAAAAAACTTGCTTTGCTTTCCCTGGATAAAATCGGTCTTCTGCTTAAACTGTGGTTAACCTTAGTGTTGATGAAGCTCAAATGGCAAGTGAAGCTAATTTGGAAGATTACTCTTGATAGCAGACAATGGTGGAAATAGCATTTGGAAAATTAGGTTTCATGAGGGTAGTGGGGAGTCTGGTCATGAGAATTCAGCTCATGGCACAGTGGTGGAAGATTCAGCCTCAGGGCTGGTGCGTGACAGCTAAATCTTGAGGGCTATGCTTTGCAAAAGGGAGCTACTTCCTTCATGCAAAATTTTGCTTCAGAAATCATGTGTCCCACAAGATACAACTTAATAGGAAACAGGAGCACAGATGGCTGGCAAGCACTATTAAACAGCTTGCTGGCATGACCTGGCTTCGGGACATTTTGTCTGAAGTCCTCTCAGCCCACCTAGCACAGAGGCAACTGGTGTGGACAAATCTCACAACACCTTTCAATCAAGTGTCAGCACCCTTGAAGGGTCAGCTTCATGTCCCAGAGGGAGGACGTGGCTGGGAGTCACAGAGTAAGGATTAAACTGCGAGGGAAGAAGGGTTCTTAGCTTGGATTGATCCAACAAATTATCTACGTCAAAATATTGATGAAATGATGTGACTTGGTACAAAGCTCTGTGCCTGGATAAGATAAGCTGCATTGATATGTGAGCACATGTGTTGCAGTTTTCTGAAATGTGGGCAGATGCTGAGAAACCCCTTCTTCCACCAGCTGCTGATGGGAATAGCAAAGAAATGTTAGATTGCTCTTACCTCCTTCCCCAAAGGTTTAACAATTTGCTTGCAGCTCTGTGATTAAGCTGAACTCTGATGATTCTCCTGATGGAGAGGAGTCTCTTGGAGTCTGAAAGAGCTTTGTTATTGACTTCAATAATAACAGCATTCAGGTTAATGCTGCAAAATCTCTGCCTTGTTTAGCCAATTAAAAAAAAAACAGGTTCATAGCTCTTCACAGTCCATTAGGGAAACAGTATGCTCACCTCAGTGAGCAAATCTGGACGCAGAGCCTGTAGACAGTTACATCTGGAAGACGGGGGATCATTACCTCTTTGGGGAGCTAAGCCTGTGGCGTGCAGGGTCCCTGAGCTCCTTCAGGTGTGCACGGGGTGCAGGTGAAGTGTTCTCCTTTCCTTTGGCTGCCTGTGACTGCCCCATTGTCTGACTGAGGGTCTCCTCAAAACCCACAGCCTCCTCTCCCTCATTTCAGCTCACTCTGGCCTTTAACAAGGATCCTCTTATCTACTCAGCGGCTTTCTGGAGTCTTTAGGGATATTGATTAGAAAAGATTTATGTTAATGAAGAATGAGTCCCAAATAAAGCATGCAGCATGGACAAATCTCTCTCTGAGGTAAACAGCAGAAAAAAAGTATTCCACTGTTTAGAAAAAGCCTGAGACACATTAGTTAGCACGGGGTTTACAGGATTACCTGATTTCTGGTCTGCTCCCATCCCAAACCCAGTTCCTCTTGTGTTAACCTTCTTTGGCCTCAGTAGAGTTAAAGCAGGAGGGAATTCAGTTCCTGATCTGTACCCCACACCAACTTGTACATCACAGCAGGATTTCACCCCAAAGTACATTGAAAATGTGCAGATGAAATAATTTATCAGTAATTACCTTTTTTAGCAGCTAAATTCAGATCTAAACTGTCCAGTTTCAGGGTTGGCAGGGGACGGAGAATTCATGCAAGCAATTTTGACTTTGCCTAGTAAAAACCAGGCCTGCAGGGCAGCGAAATCCCAGTAAAGGAGGAACTGAGATCTAGAGCTGAAGGCTTTGGGTGTCCTGAAAGAGTCAGCATTACTTGCCCTTTCTGCAGGCATGGGTGTTTGTCTGCATTCATACCATGCAAGGGTTAGGTAAGGGATACTTGGGACTGCTAGTTTGGATTTGACTGGGTAGCTAATTTTAGCAGCTCCCTGCTGCTGTAAGAATACACGTCAAGCCCCTGAGACTTACCTGAGATGCCAGGAGCAATGAGCCTGGCTTGGCCTGCACAAGGAGTGTGACATGAAGAGCAGGAGGAGAGGTGCCCTGGGGAGGGATGGAGGATGCAGCCCAGGCTGGGGGCAGGGTAGGGAGGCTTGTGGGATGGGAACAGTGTGGGGGCCATTGGCAGGGCTGGTGCAGGGACAGCATCATCAGATGGATTGTCAGGAGACATTGCAGGTCAGGGCTAAGGGCACATTAGCAGATGCATGTGGAGAAAGGAAGATTTAGTCCGTGAAATCATTTTCTTGCTTGCATGCACAGCATTCACTCAGAAATATAAAGATAAAATAATCCCTTGGCTTTCTGCAATGCTGTATTCTTGATGTTTCATTCATAGCTTTATAGGCATCTTCAAATATTCATGTATCATATTTTAAGTGAAAGGGAGAAAAATAGGTCTTTTGCAGGCTCAAAAGCAAATGGGGAAAAAAAATAAACTCAAATCCCAGAGCACTAGAATAACAGTTTTAAAAAACATGAGGAACCAATTATTTTTTTTTTTAACAACCACAGTAGCTTAGGGGCCCAGTAATACTTCATTATTTTAAATTTGAACACCAAATCAACCCATTGTACTAATGCCTGTAATTGCAAAAGGCAAATTAAATTTCCCTACCTTGTCTGGAGAACTAGAAGACCATGGAATAGTAAGGAGGCCACAGGGTAGCACGGAGCTGCAAAAGGATAGCGCTACAAGCAGACTTAAGGTTGGTGCTACAAGGGGCGGTGACAAGCTTGTTGGAGACTTCCAGGTACAGCTGTCTGGAGGACAAGAGGTGGTTCAGGCAGAGCAGGTTGTGTGCTTCTCATGGCTCTGCTGCAGAAAGTGTTCATGAATGGTTCCCCCAAATGAATAGACTCTAAAACATTCAGCAAGGAGCCTCTTCTTTGCCCTTTCCCCTCTCACTGCACCTCTACCTGCCCTCTAGGACAAGGGAGATCTTCCCAAGTGCCTGGGGTATTTCCAGCCGGGAGGTAGAAATAAAGGTGGATAAAGATCTTGGCTGGGCCGCTGCCTCTTCACCGGCTGTTGGGAAAGCTGTGCCTGTGGGTGCTGCCTGACGGAGCAGAGATGTTACTGGGAGATGGCACTCAGGATTGCTTTCCCTGGCTCTGACACTGATGCACTGTGTGACCTTTGACAAATCGCTTAGGAAATAACTTTCAAACCAACACAGATACAATTATGTACCTCTGTATAAAAGTGCCTGCTTTTTAGAGGCCTAAACCGGCAAGCCTGGGTAAATTAGCACTTCTGGATTCCAGCCCACTTCTGAGTGTGCAAAATGTTCCCTTTAGACTCTCTTCGCTTGCTTTGCCATCTGTCAGATGGGGCTGTTAATACTGACTCAGTCTTTGTACAGAGTTTTAAGCTTCTGAGACTAAAAGTGTGTGATAATAAGGGTTAGTAATTACAATACCATCATTGCATGCAATCAAGTCTTTGGGGACTGGTTTGCTGTTTGAAGGACAGGTAGAAGTCAAAGCTAAGGCACAGCGCTGGTGTTTGGCCCCTCTCAAAGAAAGTTCAGCATTTTTTGCTATACATACTCTCCTGTAGTTAGTTGGAAACTTGGATGCACCCTGTGGCATTTGAGGGGTAACACCTAAGAGGGATCCAGCCAGATGTTTCTTTGTGACAGCTCTGGGGAGTGGGAAAATCAAGGCAGGGGAGGGTCAGGAGGTCACTGCCCAAGGCAGCAAAAGGGCTGTGCTGCATCTGTATGGAATGTCAGGGTCTGGTCGTCTCTTAAAAGGATCTTCGCCACCTTCTCTTTCTGCCTCTGATCTCACAGGACCATGTGGTTGCATTTCCCAGGAGGCAGTTGCATCTCGCTGCAGTGACAGTGCATGGCACATGCCTGTGCAGCATTGTTTGGCAGACCTGTATTGTGAGCAGTGAGAGCCAGGAGGACTCAAAGTGGTGACACTTTATGTGTGCCTGTGCTCCTCTCAGCACCCTGGCCCTCTGGGAGCAGTACCTGTGGGGCGCAGGATAGGCATAGGTTATGCCAGGGCATCCGGGGGGATGAGGCACAACCACGTTACCCCCTGCCCTGTTTCACACTGAAGGCCAGCACTCATTTTATCAACACCTTCCCTGATGATGCTCTTCTCAGCTGCCCATCGCCCCTGGCCACCCTCTCTTCTCAGCCACCTGCGGGTTCACCACAGCCTCCTCGGTTGTGCCGAGTCTCACCACAAGCACACACACTCCCAGCTGATGCAGGGGCATCTCCTGTGCCTTCGGGTCAGTTTGGGTTGTGTCAGGCCCCAATGGCAAGTGTAGCTGTCCCCCACCACTTTTCCTTTCCCCTCCCCTCTACTCCCCACCTGCATCTCATCCCTCTTCCTTTGCTTGGGGGAGGGCTGTGACTTTGGGGAGCTGGTGCCCTGATGCTCGCCAGCCTCCCCTCCATGTTGCTGCCGTGGGGTCTGCTCCCCAGCCACACAGCCCCAGCGAGCTCGCATGCCGCCTTGCGCCACATCCATTGCTCACTGACAGTCATCATCTGCCAAACAGCTTTTCCCCTGGTGTATTAACTTTTTCACTCTTTTCTTCTCTCTCCCTGTCTTTCTCATGTTCTTCTCTCCCCACAGCCCTGCTGCTCACCCAAGGTAAGTGCTTTTTCTCCTTTTCTCTGCCTGCTTAGGCTTTGGTTTCATCCCCTTTCGTCAGCCCCCACCCTGTTTGTGTTTGCTATGTGGTAGACAGCCCCAGCTCTTGGTGTTCACATCCAGCAGGAGCTAGTTAACAGCAGTGCATTAAGAACATGACAGTGATTGACTGATGTCTAAGAGCCTTCCCCATATTCCAGATTTTTCCCTAGGGTTTTGGGAAATGACCCAGCCAGGGTTGCAAAGCAGAACATGCAGCTCTAACTGGTCTGGGGCCATGACTTTGGGCAGCTCTAGGGCTTGGGTTGTGCCGAGGGAGCCTGGGGAGCACGAGGCTTTTCTGCACAGGGGTGGCACTCCTGGGGCATGGGGTGGTGTTGTCTGGGGTGGGCAAGGGTGTGGGGGGAGTGCAGGTGTCCCCTTCCTATGCAGCATCAGGCCATGCATCACCCCTCAGTGCATGCAGCTGGGTGCTCTCCAGCTCCCATCCTGAAGGGTCCTGGGGTGCACCCAGAACCAGGGCAGCACTGGCAGGGCACAACAAGCATCAGCATCTTTTCCCTCTCACCCTCAGCTCTGACTCTGCACTCTTCATCTTCTCTCTCTGTGGCAGGATTTTACATGTATTAATACTGAGCCCCACTTTCCTTGCCCAAAATCCCTGTTATGCTGGTCTTTCTTGGTCCCACTGTGATGTGTTGCACACCTCCTGTATTTTTCTTTTTCCTTCAATTCCAGATATGATTACAGTTGAATTTGCACTAAAGAAACATTTGTCAAAAAGATAAGGGTGGGCATGCAGGGTGCGGAGAGGAGCTTGAGTCTGACAGGTTTGCAAGCAGAGCTGAAAACCAAAGTGTTCATCACGCCTGAGCTGTGCTGCACATCAAAGGAGCAGCATCTGCCACACGAGCTTCAGTCTCTGCTGCTTTTCGGAGGATGACAAATCTGCTGCGTAGGGGATGGCCTGAGCCCATCGGATATTGGGTTAATTAGGAAATTGCTAGTGGCAGGCAGAAGTCCCCATCTCCCCAAATATCAGCTTAGGATGTTTATGGAAAACTCCTCGGAGCAGTTTGGCCTTTTTTTTTGTTACTTCTTCAGGTCCAGGAGGACTGGAAATAAGTTGAGCACAGCCTCCTTCCCAGTAATTTCATTGCTTTAATTCAGTAGCTGCCTAATTTGATCAGAACCCCAGGAACCAAACAATTTCTATTAAAATAACATAACTTTCCTCCCTCTGTTGTGATCCATCCAGCCTGATTGCTTTTGGCAGCTGTTATTGGAGAACTTGATCACCAGCTATGGAAAGCTGCTTTCCAGTTAATACAGAAAAGCCTCCTCTCTGTCTGGGAGGGGGGTCGCTGGGGTCCCTTTGCCGGGCTGCCCTCCGTACATATGGCACGTGCTTGGCCTGCGGTTTGAGCGCACTGTGCTCGGCCCATGCACGCACTTCAGGCTAGGGCAAACAGACCCCGACTTGCCACAGAGGCACATGCTGGGGCGTCAGTGGCAATCACGGCTAATCAGCAGGGAGAGAAGTGACGTCCTCATTTAGTCCCTGTCATGTTAGATTTAGATTATGTGGACACACAGGAATGTTTGTAAAAAAACTGAGTTAGTGAATGTTTCTGTGGAATCTGTCGGTCCCGCTCTTCGTCCCCTCCCTCCCAGAGCAGCTCGCACAGCATTTCCCAGGCAGTGCCCCTTTCCCTGGGGCTGTGGTGTCCCTGGGACTGATGGGCACCCTGCCTCTCCTCCGCAGCCCTAGGGTGTTCACCTTCCCATGCTCTCTTCAGCAGCCCCTGCTGGGCCAGCAGCGCCACAGCTCCCACTCAGCGTCTCTTTGCAGAAGCCCTAGGCTGCCCAGATGGATGAGCCCAAGTGAAAACACTTCTCTCTCTCATCCCAGCAGCCCTCAACCTGAGGGTAACTGGGAGATCCTGGCTCTGCCTTCCCCACCACCTTGCAGAGCCCTCCCTGGGAAAACAGAGCTGTGAGTTTTACACACAGCAAAGTAACTGGGCAGGGGAGAGTCCTTGGCACAGACTCAGTTCAGCATTTGTTTCCTCCAGACGGGCTCTCTGAGCCAGAGTTGCAAGGCTGTGCAAAGCTTTTGAAAGCTTTGCTTTGCCAAGTGGCCAGTGCCAGCTGTTGGGGCTGCAGAGGACCACAGCAGTACAAGGTGACTGTGGAGTGATGTGAGTCAAACCTGGAGTGTTTTGACTGCTCTGATGCATAACCTTTTGTTTTGGCACTGGCAGTGATATCTCTGTATATTCTTTGTACAAGTAAATATTTGATACCAAAGTGCATCGCTACTCCAGTTGTCCCTGCCATTGCCAGCAGTGGACGAGCTGCTCTGGTGGTCTTTCCAGCCTTTACAAAAGTCACTGAAAGCCTGAGCAGAGCCTTGGCTTGCAAGTTTTTGAGCTCAGGAGGTTCAGATCTAAAGGGATGAGGAATTATCCAAACAGTAGATACTCCTTTACCCTCATTTCCACATATTCACACAGCTCAAAGAAAATATTTCTAAATATGTTTGTTATTAAAACTCATAGGTCCACTTTGCAATGGGAAAGCCTGGGGAGCAGAGGTGCCAGCTAACTGGCCTGTCAGGGACAGTCGTGTCAACAGCAATCTCAGGGCAGAGCCAGCAGTGGAATAATGCACAGTTCCCAGCCCCGTGCCTTGGCCTCCCTCTCATGTACATGCAGCGTTTCTAAGTTAGTGTTAAGGATGCTGGGGCATGAATATGGGATGTATCATGCCTCAAAAATAGCTTTCAGGGCTAAGTAAGCAGATTCCTCCCTTTTTAGAAAGCAGCCCAGTCTGTCAGTGCATGTGTTTCAGTAAAGGGCATATCCATATACTAACCTCAAAAGTCAGAGTGTCTTTTAGGCAGCAGCCTTCCCCATTTGTGACTGACAGCTTGACAGCACTCTGGAGAGAGGAACTCATTCATGCTCACCATTTACTTTGTTTGTCAAGGATTATATTTTATTGAGCCGCAACAAAAAAATCCCATTTTAATTGTCATTTTAATGTCTTCCTGGCATTGCAGTCCCCAGAAGGGCCGACCTTCATGCAGATACATGCCCCCTCTAGAAATGGATGGAGATGAGATAGTTCAAGAGGTGTGAAATGGCCTTCATTGCAACCTTTCATTAATACATTCCTGGGTTTAATCCAATTTATTTAGCAAGTGACAGGGAACACAAACTGGTCTGTGGGCCTTTAGGAGTCTCACAGCATTGCTTAGGCAACGGGTAGCTGCCTCTCTAACAGTGTTACAGGGCCTTCCCATTGCTTTTTTCAGCTCAGAAGGTGCAGTGGCCAAATTACCCCATGGAAATGTGCTTTATCTGTCTCGGATTTATGGTGTGTCCAGAGGGCCACTGGCAATGACCAGTTTGCATTTCGTCCCTGTCCTGGTTTTGAGGTGAGACCGAGCTAGGTTTCTTTTTAGTAGCTAGAATAGCATTGTGTTTTGGTTTCAGCATGGGATTTGTTAGGAGGCAAAGGTTCATTACATACCAATGTTTTCATTTTTGTCAATGGAAGTGAAGGACTTACTTAGTGTTTCGTTAGTCTACAAGTGCAAGGTCTAGAGGGGGCAAGGAATATTGAAATTAATAAGCTAAATTGGCAATTGCCAATGGGATATTCCATATAATATAACATCATGTTCAGTATATTAATGAGGGTCTCTTCCTCTCTTACTCTCTCTGGCTTTCGCTTGGGCTCTCACTCTCCCGGGATTGCAGTTTCGGTTCGGGATTGTTGCTCCTTCGGGATCATTATCTGGGAACACGCTGGGCTTGGTTGGTGGGTGGTGAGGAGTTGCACTGGGTATCACTTATTTTCATATTTTATTACTATTATTATTACCATTATTATTTTAAGTTTTATATTATTTCAGTTATTAAATTGTTCTTATCTCAACCTACAAGTCTCCTTACCCTTACTCCCCCCCAATTCTCTCCCCTGTCCCCTGGGGAGCAAGCAAGTGGCTGTGTTTGCTAGCCAGATGAAACCACCGCTGTCCCCCTGATCTGAAAGAGGTTGAGCTAGCAAGCACTGATGGAGTATCTACCTTCCAGGAGCAACACATGATGCTCCCTTTCCCCCTGCTGCAGAGCACAGCAATGGCAGGACCATAACTAGGAGCTGCTGATCTGTCCTACCTTTAAAGGTCTGAACTGACCCTGAATAAGGCAGAATAAGTGAGAACCTCTCCTTACTTCCTTCAATCAAGTGTCAGGTTCAGTACCTAGCAGGTGTCAGCTGTAGCCATTGCTGCAGCCTTGGCAAAACAGCCTTCGTTCTCATTCCTCCCACCCAGCCTTTGTTCTTATTAGATCTGCTGTATGTATGCTTGTAGCATCTCCTCTCTAGCCCATGGGCTCCCTGGCATGAGGAGAAGAGTACCTTGGTGCAGCACCTAGCACAGCAGCCCCAGCTTGCTGAGCCTTAGCAGTCTGTGCCTGCCTCTGTAGCCCAGATAGGTTGCTACCACTCAGTGGCAGCACACAGCACCAGAGCAGGCAGGGCTTAGGGGACCCCTCACTCCCCATCTTCCCCTTCCTAGGAAGGAGGTGGAGGCAGCCCAGGAGATCCTGGCAAGCTCCTGATCTTGCTGGGCATAGCTGGACCTTATCAGGCTTAATTGGGGTTGACAGCAAGGAGCCCATGGTACTGTCCTCATTGAAAAGTAGGTAATGATGCTGATACAAACAGAAATCAGGCTAGTTAATAATTAAACTGTGGCTTGGCAGCATTCACCTTGACAGCCTTGACCTTCCAAATTAAATGTCTGTCTCTCCCCACCACCCCTTCTGTTTTATTTATCATAGCCCTTAATACTAGTTTTTGCAGGCTAACACACTGGGGTGATGTGTGACACACCTCACCAATGCCCTGTCTTTGCTTCCTGGAGGAGCCCTCCAAGACCCTCATTCCTACACCCAGTCCCTCAGGAAATGGGGGCCTGTGGCTACCATAGCCTGTGCAGGAGCATGCCCCATGCTTGCTGCAGAGACAGTGGCCTCCTGCAGCTCTGAAGGCAGACTGGTGCACCGTGCTGTGGCTGAAGTGCTTCCCTGAAAGGCAGGAGCATCAGGAGTATGCTCTGCTGTTGGGACATTACATGAGTTTATTCCCTCTCAGCTATTGGATCTGTACACATGAGGCTCAACTCATTCCTCAGCATCCCATGGGAACGATGGACTTAGCAGGCCTGGAACAGGTTCAGGTTGGGGTCTGGTGTTTTGCAGAGGTTGGCACTGAGTCATGCTACAGGATGCTCAAGTGTCCTAAATGGTAGATGGGGAGAAGTGGTACATTCATGTAGGTGCTTTGTATTGCTCTTTGGAGGTGCTTAACTCTCCCCTTAATTGTATGGCGAGTGTAGAATGGGATGAGACATGTGAACTGAACTCTTGCTTGCCCTTCTTACCACAAATGGCACTGCTCTAACTTCAGAGGACAATCAGCAGCCTGGTATGTGGCACTTATGGATCGCTCGCATTGAGTGCATTGAGCAAGAACCAGCACAATATTGACATGTGACTCAAACTCTCTTTGTCCCCTACATTAGGATAGAGGCTCAGTGAAAATACAATGGCAGGTTCAGTGTTTTCAGATGCACCTTTGAAGTTTGTTAAGTTTCTGTGCTTTGCTTTCCTGTTGCACATTCACAAATGTGACTGCTTTTTAATGATGCATGAAGAAATTACCTCCTTTTTTCATTATCTAAAAGCTTCCTCTATTAATATTTCTGCGAGGTACCCATTTGGAGATGCTGCCCATGCCTGTTTTCCTGCAGCTGACACTGAAAGACTTAGCCTGGGAGTGGTATTCAGTCAGCTGCCCCCATAGGACATCCTTGATGTGCCTTCTTGGGTGACTGTGTTTCTTCTCTCTGCTCCCCAGTTCACTGTATTCACGGCAGAGCTGTGGGGTGACAGCAGGGCCTCCATTATTCATATCTTGGTAGATGTGCTGTCAGCAGGCTGCAGGTCTTCATCGCTGGTCAGCTTGTCCCTTCACTATGAGTGGCCTACCGAGGGCTTGAAGGTGCCTGTGGTGGCACTTACTCTGCTGACAAGGTGCTCTGAAATAGCGCAGGTCCCACAGTCCTTCAGTGCTGTGGTAAGCACCAGTGCCTTCACTTTGGTGGAGTGTCCAGTCCCATGCTCATGCTGCCCAGGGCCACCAGAGCGAGCTCTCCACTTCTGAACAAGGACATATCCCTTGATTTACTGTCTTCTGAGAGCTGCCTGGCAAGTGATTGCCATTCTCATCAAATCATTAGACGAGCCACAAGCAGCTTGCAGAGACAACAAAGCCACCTGCCAGCAGCTGAAAGTCCTGCCGCTGGCCCAGCCTGTCCAACGGCTTTGGTCACAGTTGAAAGCAATGAAGGAGGTCTTCCTCCTCAGAGAAGGGTTTTGGGTCTCATGCTGTCCTGCCTGACACAGGAACTTAAACCAGCATGCGCAAGACACCAGGTTCTGGGATAAAGCCGTATTGGGTACTGCTCCCTTCAGGGAGGAGAAGGATTTCTGCACTGCCTGTGCTTACAGCCCTGCCTGCAGCTCAGCCTCGCCTATATAGCTAATATTTGCATGAGGCTCCATGTTGTCTTACCATGCCGAAGACTTTTGTTAAATCAGTTAAAGTGGGGACTGAGGTTCATTGCATTGTGTCTCCTGGAGTTGTTAAGCTGAGGAAATGAAATTCTGCCAATATTCCTCATTTTCAGGGCAGCTCCTCTGATTGCAGACATTTGCTTTCTGGGTGGTGCAACTGCAGCCAGTGGGCGAGAGCCCAAAGGACTGTGCCGCCAGCTGCAACCTGCAGTCTTTCTGATGTAGTTACTTCCCAGGGAAGGTTGTATTGAGCCAGACTGTCAGGATGGCTGCTGTGTTTTTCCTCAGCTCAGGACCATCAGCACACATCAGCACAGGCTCAGTTCATCTTCCTTGGAGAGCTGAGGGTGCCTCCTCCCCTAGGTTTCAGGTTATGGTGAAACACAGACAGGAGAGACCCACATACATGGTATGGCAACTGGCATGTGAGCACTTGCATTTTCGATAGTGGCTACAGCTTGTCATCTTTATATGCTTCCAGGTAGAGGCAGAGGCAGAGACTGGACTTTCTAGATCTCTCTCTTGGAAAACTCTCTGCTTAAGTGCATATAAGTAACTTGAATCTTGTTCTTGATGGTCATTAGTTCATACCTCCAAGTGCAGCATAAAGCAGAACACTTTGCTGAGGTTCACTCCTGTTTCTTCACTTCTCTAGCTCAGCTGCCTCCTCTTCTCTGTGTTTGCTCGGCCTTTGCTTGCAGTTGGCCCCCCTGTTTCCTGGCATCCTTCATTGCTTATCTTCTGCTCCTGGTGCTCCCCTGTATTTGTAAACTTCTGGGGATTCCCGAATCCAGAATACACTGTCTTTGAGCTAAGCAATGATGGTTTTGATGTACATCATTGATTTCAGATGATGGATGTAGTTATTTCTGCTTCTGTGATGGGTTATAATAATGTCACCTGCCACAGGAGTTATTAATATTTTATAAACTCTGCAGGTCTTGCAAGGCTTGCAGTCTTTGCAATCAATCTAGGAAGGTTGGTGAAGAGAAGGCAGGGTTTAGATTGCAGTGGGACTTTTAATTTCTGTGTGATTTTTGGTGCAGAATATGATATCTGCTGGAGCCACATGGGATTAATCACATCTGAGGCATTACCTAGGGTGTTTGTAAACTCTACAGAAAACCTTGGGTGGCATCTGACCCACTGCTCAGCCAGAACAAGATGCTCTATGTTTGTGATACCCCTCAGCTTCTGCAGAACTCCAGCTCCCGCACCAGCTCAGCTGGGCTGTGTGCTGCAGCTCGTGTGACCTGACTGGTCAGGCACAGGAAAGCCATGGGAAACCCAGCTTCTTTCTGGAGATGTCAAGGCTTTTCAGAGAGACAATTGGCACATGCCTGCACTTGGGTGTGTGGGTGGGAGAGGAGACCTGGGTCAGGGCTGTGGACAGTGCCGGGGCATCCTTCCTGCTGGTTGGGGTGCTCCATTCCATCCAGGGAACTAGCATGTCCCCAGGCACCTCACTGGGTTTGCTGGGGCATCAGCAAGGTGAGTAAAGTCATCTCAGCACACTGCACCTCCTGGGCAGTCCCATGGGACACCTTGTGGTAGCATCTGCTGACCTGGGGTCCTGGTTTAGTTTCCTCCAGCAGAAACTAAACATCCAGTAACATGAAAGCAAAAACTTGGCTTCTTCTTGTTCATTTTTCCAAACAGTAGGAACATGTATGTCCGTGCACGTGTGGTTGTGGCTGTGTGTGTCTGTCTGAGTGTTAGATCAAGCACCGAGTGGCACAGTGATTTTCTAATCAAAGGGGAATAAAAAGATCCTGTCTCTTGTTCATGCAAACTAGGAAACACGCCAGGGTGTTAAAGCTGTCTTAAAGGACACCTGTGCCAAATGGCAGAATGAATTGGTACCTCAGTCTTCCCAGAGATGTGGCTGCTGCAGGGACAATGGAGGAGGGCATATGTCATCCTAGAGCACCAGTGCAGGCTAAAGAAACATTTGTTGTTTGGGGTTTTTTTAATAAATTAAAATTATGTTGTGTATGTTCTTAGTGACTTACTGATACTCAGAAATCTTGGTCCTTTGTTTCTGTGGTTCAACACCCCACCACTGCCCCCTAAATTGCTGGGTGAGCTTAACAAGCTGCAGAAGCTCATGCTCAGGCCCTGCAGATGAGCCCTGGCAGTGCTCCAGTCCTCCAGGGCTGCTGTCTACAGCTTGGTGTTGACCTTGCTTTCACAGAGGTGGCTGAGAGGAAGCTGACAGTTGAAGAGGAGGAAGCCAAGAGGATTGCAGAGATGGGCAAACCAATACTTGGCGAGCATCCCAAACTAGAAGTCATCATTGAAGAGTCCTATGAGTTCAAGGTCAGTAGTTGTCCCAGGTGTCCTCCAGGAGAGAAAAGCTGTGTGGCATTGAAGAGCAGTCATGAAAAGCAGAACTGAGGAGGCTGGTGGTGGCCACATGTGCAAGGAAAGGGTTGTTGGGAGACAAAAAAGAGTATTCAATGCAATAAAGTATAGGGGAAGCCTACAAGAAGCACCAGGAGACGTAGCTGCTGGTAGGCAGAAGGTGAAGGGAGGAAGACAAGGGAGCCCTGCTGGAAGCAGAAGAAGCCAGTGTGCAGGAGAGGGCAGGAGTGAAGCTGTCACTGGTGGGGCAGGGGCGAGGTAAGAAGGAGCCTCCTCTGGAGTAAAGGGTGGCAAAGAAGCAGGCTCTGGTGAGGTTTGGGTCAGCCTGTCCAGGGAGAAGGTGGGCCCAACTCCAGTCATGGCCTCATCTGACAGGTAGGAGAGTGCTCATGGCATCTCAACAAGCACTCAAGTTTGGGAAGGGTCAGTGAGACCACAGTGCACTGCAAGATCAGCCTTGCCTGCTAGCAGCCAGTTTAATTGCTATGCATCTTTATTCCCACAACAGAGCACCGTGGACAAGCTGATTAAGAAGACAAACCTGGCTTTGGTTGTAGGGACACATTCCTGGAGGGACCAGTTCATGGAGGCCATTACCGTCAGTGCAGGTGAGGAGGACATCAGAAAACCAACACCAGCATCTGCAGGGTTCATGCAGCCTGGGATGAGATCTATCTGGGCTCAGGAGACAGCGTCTGCCTGGTCAGTAATGCTCAGCTGTTGTATGCATGGTGGTCATCAGCAAAGCCAGTCCAAAGAGCTCCTCTGCTCCAAATGTACTGGGCTTTTGCAGATGCATTAGCCAGGAGCCCAGGAGATCCATCTTTTGGTGCAGTGCCATCCAGGACACCAGTTTTTGAAGACTTTACTTCTTCTGGTGGTGTTCCTGCTGCTTCAGTGGTCTGATGAGCAGCATACAGGCGGCAGAATCACATCCTGGGCGGGCTCCTGGCTCCTGGTGTGCCCAGTGCTGTCCTGTTCAGGAAGCTCCTGCTATGGGAAGATGTCCTTTCTGCCATGGCCGGTAGACTCTCTGGGAGTAGGGAGAGTTACCACATGCAGACAGGAGATGTTGTCCCATGAGGGAGCAGCTGGTGGAGGGAAAGATCCAGAGACCTTCCAGCTATTGCCTGGGGATCATGTAAGAACTTACCGCTTCCAGAGCCAGGCAGACATTTTAGGCATGTTCATGCCATTAATGACAGTCAGGCACCTTTCTGAACCTTTCCTTGATGGTTTGGCATCTTTCCCAAAGGGCTATTTTCCACCCAGCTATAGTGCAGGCAGGCAGGCAGCTGAGTGGGAGCTGTCACCAGTGGCCACAAGGGCTTCTTCTGACATGAAAGAAGAGGTGCAGGGTATTTAGTTTTTCTTCTTTCTAGCAATTAAGAGAAACTGGTTCTGTGGAAACAGTACTTCCATCCTTGTAGTAAGCAGGGCTGCTTCTCTCTTCCTCCACCTCTCTCCTTCTCATGCCATCTGCTCTGTGCTCCCTGCCTGCTTTCTCTTTTACCAGTTTATTTCTGTTGTCCTGTATCCACACAAAGACCAGTGGTGCTTCCAGCCTTGAGGCTGACCTGGTCCATCAGGCTAAGGAGGGAACCCCGCCAAGGGGCTGCAGTGCTGCTTCTGGTGCCCCCACACAGATGAGAAATTTCTTGCTGGGGCACTGCTGGTGACCAGCCTGTGCTCTGGTGCAGGACCAAGAGGTCACTCCAGTTTCCCAGTTCTATCACTTCATCCTATTTTATCCCCCAAAACATCAATTGCCTGTGTGACTTCATGGTGCCCCTCAACAGTGATCTCCACAGGCTGACTATGTACTATAGTACATGGGATGGGCATGGGGACAGAGATGTGGTTGTCCCCTCTGTGGGTGCAACGCACCACTCTGCCACTCCCCAGCCCTGTAGGCTCTGGGTTGTCCCAGGAGGCACCCCTCTTCCTGAGCCTCACCCCAGTCACTGAGGGACCTAGTGTGTCCTGAGCCCACTGTCGTGGCTGACACTATGCCACTGTATCCTGGGAAATTAGCATCCCAGGAGAGCAGTGTCCTGGGAGAATAGCATCCCTGGAGCCCCAGGGCAGGAGGCCAAACACGGGCTGCAGTCCACCCCCATAATCTTGATCCATCTCATCATGAGCACTGGACCTCTCCTTCCATGTTGTTTGCAGCAGGTGATGAGGATGAGGATGAGTCTGGCGAGGAGCGCCTGCCCTCCTGCTTTGACTACGTGATGCACTTCCTGACGGTGTTCTGGAAGGTGCTGTTTGCCTGTGTGCCCCCCACCGAGTACTGCAATGGCTGGGCCTGCTTCGTTGTCTCCATCCTCATCATTGGCATGCTCACAGCTGTCATCGGTGACCTCGCCTCCCATTTCGGGTGCACCATCGGCCTCAAGGACTCGGTGACCGCCGTCATCTTTGTCGCCTTCGGCACTTCAGTACCAGGTGGGGTGGCTGCGGGGAGCAGACGGGGTGGGAGGAAAGTCCTCTGGTGGCTCTCCTGCCTGCAGGGAAGCAGCTCTGTCATGGGAATGGGGTTCAGGCTGGGAAGGGGCCCCCTAGCACCCTGTCCTTGGGCAATGTCTGCACCCTACTTGGTGGCAACACAGGGTCCCTGGACCCGGGACTGGGGGTGTGCACCAGGAGAGGTCCATGTCCCAACCTAGCTGGTGCCACACCTGAGCCTCCCTTGTCCTGTAGACATGAAGGGTTGCCCATTTCTCCTGTTGGACCCACAGTGATTTTTCCTTCACTCCTCTCCCACCCCCAGACACGTTCGCCAGCAAAGCTGCAGCCATCCAGGACGTGTACGCCGACGCCTCCATCAGCAACGTCACAGGCAGCAACGCCGTCAATGTCTTTCTGGGCATCGGGCTGGCGTGGTCGGTGGCGGCGATCTACTGGGCATCGCAGGGACAGGAGTTCCAGGTGTCAGCAGGCACCCTGGCCTTCTCGGTCACCCTCTTCACCATCTTCGCCTTCATCTGCATCAGTGTCCTCCTCTACCGCCGGCGGCCCCACCTCGGGGGTGAGCTGGGCGGCCCCCGGGGGTGCAAACTGGCCACAACATTGCTCTTCATCAGCCTCTGGCTCCTATACATCCTCTTTGCCACCCTGGAGGCCTATTGCTACATCAAGGGGTTTTAGGCAGTGGAGGGATGGTGCCACCGGGGGGAGGGACGCCCTCCTCCGTTACCTCACCAGACACCAGTCCTGGAAATGCGGTTCCACCAGAGGGGACGGCTGTCCACTGGGGCTGCTGCTGCCCAGATGGTCGAACGGCTGGGCACCAAGAGGGGCAAAACCATCACACAGTGAAAAAAAGAACTCAAACAAAACCCACCCAAAATGATACAAAAGAAAAGAAAGCAACAATGGCAAGTGTTGAAATAAAACAAAACAGAATAAACACAGCCACTGACCCCATTCAATGAGATTAAGAAGTTTTAGCAATCTCCACAGGCCACCTTTCCCGCAGGGCCTTGTCTGCTTTCCTCCTGAGCACCTCTCTGCTGTAAGGAAACTTTTTCTTATTTTTACTGGTCAGAAATTGCAGAAGGCTGATCAGGATTTTGATTTTTTTTCTTTTTTTTTCCTTTCATTTGCTTGTTGCTTTTTGGTTTGGCAGGGGTGGGGGGGGAGTGGAAATACTGCTTGGGGTTCTTTTGTTTTGTTTTGTTTTAACTACTAAAACACAAAAATGTTAAAAATCTACTTTAAAGCTTCAAGCTGCCATCAGTGCTGGAATTGAACGTGTATTTTTTGAAGTCACAAAAGACTGACACAGTCAAAGAACTTTTTCACTATTATCACTATTATTAGTTATTTCCTCCCTCGTCACCTTCCATTTCTTTCTTTTTTAAGAACATCACAAGACTGATATATTTTTAATACAAACACAGACACACATTCAGTGACAAAGGCTGGAGCATGTAGCATCTCAATCACTCGCCTGGGCTAAGAAAAAAAGGAGGAAAGAAAAAACAAACAAACCCTCCAAACCCCAACCCTCTAATATAATATGTATTGTGTATATTTTGATTATGGCATTTTCTTTGTATAATTAACTTTGAGCTTGTGGTACTGCAGGGAGAGAAAATTATGTTAATTTACAACTGATAAAGAAATAAATGGCTACCCAGGAACAGCCTGCCCTGGGAGTGAGTGGGCTGGGGAAAGTGGTACCAGCTCCTTGGGTTGGTGGTGGGTTTGCTGTATGGTCCTCCTGCTTGGAGGTGGAAATGAATTCAAGAAAACACAGGTATCATGCCTGTATGTTCCCAGTGCCATCCCACCCTGAGCTATGCTGTAGCTGCCCTTTCACTCATTTGCTACCCTGGTTTTCACAGCGCCTGCATCTTTTTGGTGGTCTTCAGGCCATTGAAAGGTACAGGCTTAAAAACTGTCACCCAAGTCAGGACTCCCGTAGCATCTTGAGTACTTTTTAGGAAGACCAGACAGACAAAAAGGCATCCTTTTCATTTGAAGTGCATTTCTTTTTTTAGGGAAAAAAACAAACAAACAAACAAACCCCACCATGAGAGTATGTCATGTCAATGGCTGCAAATTGAAATGTTGGGTTGGTAATAAAAATAATAATAAAAAAATTATACCTATATCTTATATAAACAGTGTTATCTAGAAACATATTTCTTAACTGAGAGCCCTGGAAAAGGATGTTAAAACCTTAGTCTTTGTAAAGTGTTTTCAAGATGAAGCTCATTTCTTCTATCAAGAAACAGGTGCTGCAAAGGGAAACATTTTCTTTGTAAGTTCCCTATAATAAGCCAAACCTTGTGAGGCGTCAAGTAAGAGAGGGGCTGCCAAAAAGCATGTCTGTGCCTGCTGCAGTGCTTTCTGCTGCCCTAGGAGGCGGGCAGGAGGTGGCTGCAGGTTAGGAAAAAAGCAATGGGAACAAGATTGTCATGGACAAAAAAAAAAAGAGATGCAATATTATAGTATGTGACTAGATGAGAGTGATAATGGTCCTTAACACACAGATGAAGTATTTATTTTCGTACAAAATGCTTATCAGATATCTATATCTCCATATAACTGTGTATACTTGTAAGGCAGGGAAGAAGGATCCTTCTCAGAGGAGTAGCAGGAGTTTTGCTGGTGGGACCCCACCGTGGGTGAAAGCCATTGAAGCCAACACACATCTGCCGCCTGCCTCCCTACCCTCCTTTCGCCATGTCTTCAGGAAAGGGCCTGAAAAAGACAGGCAAGGAACCTGGAGGCCAGGCTCCTGCTGAGCTTGCCTATCTTTCTGGCTTTTGGCTGTGCCAGCAGCCACTGAAAGCCATGGGCCACCACCACCACCGCCCACCAGCCAGGGACCCCAGAGCATACACCTCTGACACTGAAAGAAAAATTACAAAAGCCCCCAAATGTTGTCTTCGGGGTTTACAGTGCAGCTCTCACGGGGAGGTTTGCTATCATTGCTGTTTTTAATTTTAAATATAAAGTCTGTTGAGCTCTTATTTGACCTGTGCCAGCTCACCCACCCCTGGGTAAAGCCCAGCTGGAGAGCGGCCATGCTGTTCTGTTGCTTGTGCTGTATCCACCACGTGCTCTTCATCTGCTTCCTTCGTCAGCTGACCTTGGGGGGAGGACTGGTTGCCATCACTGCCAACTGCATGGGGACCTCAGTGCCCCACATGCATGAGGGCAATCTGCGCCAGGCCAACAACGTCCGTTGAGTGTTTCTTTTGTTCTTTTTTTTTACTTCATTAAAAAATATGCAAGCTGAAAAAAAGCAAGTTTGGTGCCTTTGAGGTTTTGGGTTTTTTTTTTTGGGGGGGGGGTTTTTTGTGTTTTTTTTTTTTTCCCTGAGGCTTTTAGGTTTTATTTTGGGTCTAGCTACCTGCTTGCTCCTGTTTTCCTTTGGTCGGGTACCTGGACTTGGTCACACTGGCTCTGGCTGGTTTGCTCTCCTCTCCACCCCAGCCCTCCGGTTCAGTACTGCTGCAGGAACCCCGCAGTGCTTTGCCCCAGCTGGCTGCAGGAGAGGAGATTTTTCTGGTGTTTTTGTTGTCACTGCTCTTCCCCTTTGTTTCTGCCATCAGCTTCCAATGGCAGCCCACAATAACAGCCACCGGCCTACCCAGCAGCCCTCACGCTCTGGGTGGCACACACTTACTTTTGTCCTCCTTCCATCCCCGCTCCTTGCCAAGGCCCCTTCACTGCTGCGGTTGAGGATAAATGGTGTGCCCTGACATCAGGAGGGAAAAGCAGAGCTGATCAAAGGAGCTGCTTTGTCCCTGGGGACTGCCATGGCCTGGGGGCATAGTCTAACGGCCATGCATGGTGTGGAACAGAAGTACCTCTGCTGCCATGGAGGGCACACCCAGCACCCCACGGGTTTTGCCATCCTGGTGCTGCCACCCTGCATGGATGCCAGTCAAAAATCAGTTTTGCAAAGAAGCATCACTCACCTGCCCCCCTCAAGCTGGCTGGGAATTGTGCCCTGGGTTTGGCCGGTACTGTGCCATCTCCTCACCCAGCATCATCACTGACTGCCTTTTTCTACTTGTGCTTGGGCTCCTGGCCCCCAAAAATCCCCTTTACAGTGAGCCTTGTGCCAGGACCGTCCCCATGTGCCTTTCTGCAGCAGAAGGGTGGCTGGTGCAGCCCATAACCCTGGTGGGAGCCATGGTGGGAGGACCCACCTCAGGCCCCGTGGCCTGCAGGAGAGGTGGCGCTGCCGCAGTAGCAGCAGGGAGGCTGTGCTGCACATCACTCCCTCCAGGGCCAGAGCTCTGCAAAGCCCCCTGGCCTTGCCACAAAAAGGCTACTGCCCCACTGCATGCTCCCATCTCCTGGGGGGTCACTTCCCAGCCCTCGCCATGTCGGCCGGGTCATGCCTTCCATGAGTCAGCAGTGCCTGTGGCGAGCACACCTGCTCCTGACCCAGGGGAAGCACACAAGCTCCCACTCCAGGAAAGGACCCATTGCCTTTGACTTAAGTGAAGGGGTTGGGGGAAAGTTTGGAGGGGGGATGTGGGAGGGATGAGACTCTTTGGGGCTGGCTCCCTACCACAGCTATGCAGAAGCATCCAGTCCCCACAAGTGCTGAGGACCAGGACTGAAGGGCACCATCCCAGAGTGAGCTAAACTGCATGACAGGAATATGCAGGCATCAGGAATCAGCTGCAGTACAGCACAGTGAGAATGAAGTGTTTATTAGGTTGCCCAAAGAAGTTCTGAATGCTCCGTCCCTGGAAATGTTCAGGGTCAGGCTGGATGCGGTTTTGAGCAGCTTGGTCTAGCAGAAGGTGTCCCTGCTCTTGGCAGGGACACCTTCCGCTGAAGGTCCACTGATGATCTTTAAGGTCCGTTTCCACCCAGACTATCCTATGACCCTATGATTCTATGATTAGAGTCAGTGAGTAAAGGTTTCAAGCCAGGGAAGAGGCAATTGCAGCTCTCAGAATGGGCTTTGTCACCTTTCTGGCAATTACTGTGTTGTTGGTGCGATCAAGGCTCTTCTGGACAAGCACAAATTAAACACAAAAATACTCCATGATGCACATTTCCTCTAATTCCATGGCTGGGGCTGCTGAACTGGATTGTAAGCCACTTGTCCCTGGTATGGACGGACCCCACCACCACTCTCCATCCCAAATCAGCAACATGACCTCACAGCACCATCTGCAAGGAGAAGCTCCTATCAGCTGCCTGTGCCACCTCAGGCTTCAACCACCCTCGCCTGTTGCTGCAGTGGGATGATGTCTAACTGTATGTGTCCAACAGCATAGCACTTTGCTTTGG